TGACGTTCCTAGAAGGACCCCTCTTAAGGAGCAAATGAAAAGCAATGTCTAGAGGCATACAACCCACCTAAATATACACACACATGAGATATAATACACACACATGAGAAAGGGCTTACAGTTTGCATGAGGTTATCAGGATCAACATGCCATATGCACCAGTACCCCACAATGAATACATTCATTACATATCACAAACACACTAACAAAAAAGAAAAAACTGTTTTAACTATCTCACTTTTTAAAAATAACCAACATAACCACTCATCAAATTAGATTTTTAAATTATATCGTGAATAAATATGCATTATCTGTCCAAAAATTAAGCATTTTACCTATCGTATTACAACAAACTGCTAGAAAAAAAATTTAATATTAAAAGTCTTATTAGCTAAAAAATGCATTTGAGATACAGAAAAGATAGTTACTGAATAGCAAGCTGGAAGTCTATTTCTGAATTTTAACAACAAAGCTGCTAAATAACTTCATTTAATAGGCACAACTCTATACAATATCTTTCTTTCATTCTTTTTTTGCGGGGAGGTCTTTTTGAGACAGGTTCTTACTATACAGTTCAGGCTGGCCTTGAATTCACTTTGTAGCCCAGGCTGGTCTCGCATGCCCCCAACCATCATCCAGCCTCAACCTTCGAAGTGCTGTGATTACAGGCATGTGCCACCATGCCCAGCCAAAATATTTCTTTTAGTAAAGATATTTTGGTTGGAAACACAAGAGAGAAAAAAATGGAACACGCCTATAATCACAGCACTGGGGAGGCTGAAGCAGGAGGATCGCCTTGAGTTTGAGGCCGGCCTGTACTACATAGTAAGTTCAAGGTCAGCCTGTACTACTTAGTGAAACTCTATGAAGAAGAAGGAAGAGACAAAGGGAGGAGGGACGGCAGGCAGGTCACAGTTAACAGCTGGGTGAGGTGGAACATGCCTGTAAACCCCGGAATCAAGGACTGTGCCAGAAGTTTGAGGCCCGTCCAAGGCCACCCTGTACTATATAGTGAAACCCTGTCTCAAAAAACCAAAATAAATAAATAAATAAAACAATAATACAATGAATAAAACCAAAAGAGCCATCTAAAATGAGAAGCAGTAAATCTTTTGATAAATTTTTAATTTAGCCAGTTGGGCTTACCTCTAACACAATCTTTCCTGCAAGCCATACCAAAATAATAATCATATTAGAAGGAAAAACAGTAAAGTGTTGACTGCATTGTGTTTGGCAGAAATTGCTTAATCAAAACTTCTTCTATACTTTTTGTTGTTGTTGTTTTACTGCCTCAGCCTCTAAGTGCTGGGATTACAGCCATGCCCAACCTAGTCTTTGCATTTTTAAGGCACAGTTATGGTACTGAAATCAAGTACCCCTTTATAGTTCGGTGGCTCAGAACCTTAACATATTTATCACAATGCATATGATAGTTCTCTGAACAATCTAGTAAATCTGGATGTTTCTAATAACTTCTGGCCTGGTGGAAATAAACAATTATGCCATCACAAGACTTTTAGCCAAATACAATTTTCAGTACCCTATATGTGTATAGTAGCTTCATTCATATTTATAATCTCATATTAAACCCGAAGGATTTAATGCTTGAGCATGCTTGTCATTCTGAATGCAGCGCTGCCTCCGTACCTATAACACAGGACACTGAGGCCACTAGAGCATGTACAGCTCTCATTTTAAAGAAGAAGAGTTAGATGTCTTCCAAACAGAACTTGGTCTAGATTCATTGACTCAAAAAACATTTTCCAAATGATTACTAGGCATATACTAAAACTGCTCCAGATGGTAGCTGAAGAGTGGAAGAAAAACATAGCCAGTAGAAGACAGAGATAAGAGGCCCTCTTCATATGATGGTGTTTTGCTAAGGAAGTAAGAAACTGCTATGGAAACATTCAGGAAAGAGACCCCAACAGTCTTAGGAGACCCTGAAGGACATTCTAGGTGAGGTGCTAAGCTGAGACCTTAAGACTAAGATCTCAAGCTGACGAAATGTCACTTGAAAATCCTCCAGGCAAATGAGCAAAAGATGCTGGAAACATTGAAGGTTTCATTTGTCAGGATGACCACAGAGTATCTTGAGACGCAGGACCAAGGAACTCGGTGAATCACGTTGTGAAGGCTACACAGTTCAGGGAGATGGGAATGAACGCTTTATGCAAGAGAGAAGCATGAATGATGTGCAACCTTAAACAATGCCCTCTGCCTACTGTAAGAATAATAATCAGGGAAGAACTGACAGCTGCCTAAACAAAAGCAGCGGCTATGAAAGCAAAGATAGGCGGCTGGGTCAAAAGAGTACTTAATGGACAGCTGGGACCCATGGGGCTGGCTAGAAAGGAGAAATTAGCAAGTCAGGGTGGACAAAGGCTAGATCAGTGTAAGTTCCCGTTAGACCAGATTATACAAAAGCTTCCGTAAAGCATGCAAGAAGTTAAAATCCTTCGTAAGTGGCTAGATTTTGGAGACTGAAATTTAGGCAAGAAACGATAGATTTGGATGCTATCTACACATATTCTATATATAAGATGTGAAACTATGACAGTGGCTGAATTTCAGAGAGGAAAAGAAAAGGAACATGTGAGTGTTTCTAGGACAGAAACCTGGTAAGTATTCAGCAACCAGGAGAAAAGCCAGAAGAGCTCAATAGCAAGGTTCCAGAAAGTGGTTTTTGGAAGTAGCTGCCAATCGTGTGAAATACAGTAATGTGCTCAACTGAGGTAAAGGCTGCAACACATCTGAGGACTTAACAACTCACGGGGGGTCTGCGTGAACTGGGTGCGGCTGGGACACATGCCGACAGAGAGGTGTGAAAGCATGCACGGCATTGGCTGTCAAAGGGGGGGGGTAGCTGAAATTCAGGCCTTAGAGGGAAGAAAGAGTATTCTCATGAAAAGAAAGGAGAAAAATAATGAGAAAAAATGTAAGTATGCTTACAGGTAAAAATACAGCAGAATACAAGCATTGGTTTCTACCTCTCCAGTTTACACCCTTGTATGGTGTGCCTTCCGCCCTTAGTTCCTTCAGAGGGCTGACTGCATGGAATTGAAACTGCAGTCTAATCTGACACTCCTCATCCCAAAGGCAAGATTGCAATACCTGCAGAGCCAATGCTAACATCTCCTCTTTGATGACTAGCTCCTGTTAGTACACACAACACCCATTTACACGTGCACACATGCATACACACACACATACACGCACACGCACATGCACATGGGAAAAAGCAAAATAAAAAATAAATTTAAGAGTGAACTCCATGCCAGAGTCTTCAAGCAAATGGTCTCAATGACTGTTAATTTCTTCCTACCAACTCTTTTTCAGAGTCCTCTCTTCATCTTATTTTCTACAAGATGTGCAAGATAAAAGCAGTTCAAAAATTTCTGAAATGCTACAACTCAGTCATAGAACATGTGTAAGATATAAAGGATTGGACCACCAGATAATTATTAAAGTCGCCTCCATTTTAACATTTATAAAACCCAACTTGGGTATCAAGCACATAACATTCTCCTAGACTTAACACACCGGACTCTAAAAGAACTGCTGATGATGTGTTTATACGGTGGGTTGACAAGGTGCTGCTCCCAGAGACCCACCCAATATTCACAATGGTACTACAGAGGTTAAGAGAAAAGCCTAAAACTGAAATAATTAACCAAACAACAAATAACCGAATATATTCCATTAGTAGCTACATTTTATAAGAAAAGATATTATGATTACATCAACTATAATAAAAAATTTATCCAATTTGTGATCATAGTAATCAATGTTCAAAGGCACATTCATAACACACTGATGATACCAATATACCACAGTAGCTTTATGAGTAGCTAAGAGTACAAATAAATGAAATTAATAGAAGTATTAATAGATGATATAATAAGTTTCAAACATCTGGTATACACTGTTTGACCTATAGATTATTCCTAATCGTTTTATAGATTGTTCACTAGGATAATTAATCAATTCCTATGTACTCTCTACACGTGTTCCCAAAAATTAACCATTTTGTTCTTCTGGCTTAAGTTAAACAAATAAAATTATTTTCTGTAAAAGTATCATGCATCTGAACACACAAATTTCAGTATCACTGTAAGTGAGGCATGCTGGTATTATGTTCCTCCTATCATACGAAAAGAATGCAGTATCTACAACACATCTAAAAACTTCAACCTGAATCTAATAAAAATCTGCTGATTATAGGGCAGAGAGAAGCAAGTTAAAGAATGTTAAAAAGAAGCAATTACCCAAATCCAAAGACGTGAGGGATAAACCACAGGACAAATAACCTTTTTTTCTTTTTTTCAAAAAACCAAATGCATATTAAAAATTAAAAAGGGAGAAGTACTGCTATAAAGAGTTTTAAATTATTCAACAGCATGTGGACTCCTTTTAGATCTTGACCAGACAATGAGAAAATAAGAACACTGCCTAACACTGTATCTAGATATAGCATTAAATAATATTTAAAAAATAATTTTGCTTATTTTATTAGGTTTAAAAAGAATAGGTACACTGTGACTCCAATTTTCAGAACTTTGAGGTCTAGAATTTCTGGAAGTAAAAAGATGAGTTTCTTCTTCCCAGCACAAACTCAAGGAAGAATCACAATAAGTCATCCAAATGCTACTAGCAGCCCTCAATATACCCACTGCTTTTCTCTGCTCCTTCTTTCTTTTTGGTCCTAGAAATACATTCAGCCACGTGTAACTTTGCTTTACACTCGTTCACATTCTTGGGGTACTCCTAGACTCCTAGTCTTGGGGTACAAAATGAAAGCAGTCAGCAAACTCACAGAACAAGATTATGTGGCTTTGGGACTGTCCACTTCACAGACAAGGAAAGAGACACAGAAACTTGGGCATGATTTTTGAGACCTAAGTACCTGTTACCAACAGAGCTGACCCTAGAGGGGAGTTTGGACCACTCGCCAGTGTGGCTCCTGGTACCCCTCCTGGTCCACCTCTACCTCCACTGACCTTCCCATGCTCCTTCCGTGCGTGGGAGATGTACACATCTCTCTGTGTGAACAGGCGGTCACACTCCCAACATGTCCAGCCGGGACTGGCCACCTTCTTGGATTCTGCTGACTTTTTCACAGGAGATGGAGACTTCTTTTCCGATTTCTCTTTCCCATTGATGGACTTGTTGTCCTCTTTGTTGAGGTTTGCTGAATTCTGAGTTGCAGGCTTAATGCTCAAAGGCAAGTTTATGCCCAAATTGGGAGGCCCTTCGATACTTTTCAATGTTCCATGCATAGACTGCATTATAAAAACAAAAGAAGTATCTATCACAAATCACACCATCAGACAGCACATGTAAACTACCTTAATGCTTCCAGACATGCTAATGGAATTATACATCCATTGCAAAATATTTTCTAACATATAAAGAAAGCCTAAGCTAAAATTATACATTTTAAAAGAGAAAAAGCAGTATTAACTTTTATTATCACTATAAATTATAGGCTTCTAGTTCTTAGTAATTTTTAAAGCTTATGTATCTGTGCCATTTTAAAACTTTCAAGACAGACCTCTGTACTGAATCTAATTAGTCCTGGTGCTCTATCCTCCCCTCACATCTCAGAGTAAGTCCTGTACAAGACACCATTTCCAGAGAATGTCTCACTTGCACGTCTACTGCGAGTGTTTGAGAGCCTTAGCTCACCAACCTGAACTGACAGCGGAGACTCCTCATCCTTGACAAGCCTTCCACGCTCTGGGAATCAGTGAAACTGAGTGGCTTTCTTCTGCTAGGTTTTGGAGGTAATTTTCTTCTTTCTACTCCCTATCCCAATCTCCCTTTCTTGTAAGTAACATTCAGACCTAAACTATACATATTAAGTACTCAAAAGCTGTTTAATTATTTATTATCATGAACAGTCCCACAGCCATCTTAAATTTACAGGATACTGCAGTCTGATTCTGAAAACCAGCCCACTTTAGTTTTTCTTTTGTGTTCTAAAGGTATGGAGTCCAGATAAACATAAGCCAGCAAGTCTGTCCCTCGGTGCACATTTGTGTTAGCCTTCCCTTCTGATCAGGATGCAAATGAGCCACTTGTCTCACCACTTCTGAACTGAGTTTTTATTTCTTTAACCATTTTAAACACAAAGAAACTTTTCATAAGTTTCTAGGTAAATGCATTTTGACTAACTGAAAACCAGAAAGGAGGGTAAAATGTTAAAGAATTCTTCTTAAATAATTTTAAACTGCTACAGAAATTATAGAAAAGCAGCAAAAAGCACAACAGAAGAGGGGAATGGCATGTACGCATGAAATGAAATTACTCATTTTATTTACATATTGTAACTGAAAAGGAGATTAGGACCAAGTCTGCTTTTCTTAATAAAGGAAAAAGCTTGACTGGGGATGAAGTCTGTGATGGAGCACCTGCCTGGCACGGGCAAGGCCTTTGCTTTGAGCACCAGCACCACACAGCAAAGAAAAAAGTGTGACGGTGTACAACTCTAATCCCAGCAGTCTGAGTGGCTGAGGCAGAAGGACTGTGAATTCAAGCCCCGCCTAGAAAATTCTAGGAGACCCTCACCTTGTTTCAAATAAAAAAACCAGAAAGGCAGAGGATGCAGCTCAGTAAACTGGATCCTTAGTACTTGAGGGAAAAGGATAAGAAATACAACATAGTTCTTTTTAAACTGATTTTTTGTTAGCTCATAAAACAGAAACTTGAATATTTAAAAATGTGAATGTGACTATCAACAGGGAGTACAAGGTACCAACAGAGTAAAGTCATATTTTGGTAGGACAAAGAAATGAACTGATCCAGGTGTGGTAGCTCAAACTATAATCCCAGCACTTGGAAAGTTGAGGAAGGAGAATCACCTCAAGCTCAAGGCCTGCCTAAACTACACAGTGAGTGAATGGCCAGCCTGAACTGCACAGCAAGACCCTGTTTCAAAAAAAAAAAAAAAAAAAATCTTCAAAGAAATGGTCTAAGTTGAGTTGCTAAATAATAAAATCCCACCCATAAATAAGCATATGCCAGCCTAGTGCCTCTTCATTCCTTGCTCAGAGACACCAGGCAAAGTAAACACGCAGCAAGAACTAGATGCATCACCTTAAAAATTAAAACAAGGTACTCCTAAAACCATATATATGTATTTTACCCACCCCAGCACAAGAATGCAGGATACTATATTAAGATGCATACAATATATAAGAAATGAAAACAAAAATGAACATTCCCATTGATTCTATGTCATGTAGGATTGCAAAGTTTCAGATGAATAAAAATTCTGTCCTTCTTGTGGCCACAGGACTTTACCACTCATCTTGAGTCTGTATTCCTCTGAACTCTCATCAACACAAAGAATACCCCAATCACAAAGCCTCCGACCCCACTTTCAGACGCAAAGGTGAGTTAAAGAAAAAAAATCCTTAAGAAGTGTTTTCTTTCTTTGTGTGTGTGGGGAGAGTGTCAGGGTGTGACCCACACACAGTGGTGCCTCACAATTCTGATCGCAAACCAAGTTGGACAAGAATCAAATCAACAGTTAGGTTCAATGTTGACCTTAAGAGGAAATCTGATTCAGTTCTCATCCAGTTCAGTTTGCAATCAGACTTCTGGGGGAGAATTTTGTGTGTTAACCGAGGTACCACTGTAGAGCATACAAAAATAGACTCGTCTAAATCCAATGTTCCCATATCTTTATTTTTAATATCACTCATTCCTATTTACTATCAAAAACAATTTTACAATTTTTGCTAGAACACTTGAAATATCCTAAATGGATTTTACTGCACTCCAAGTGAGAATGACAAAACACATCATCCAAGCATTTTATCCACCCTAGTAATGCCATCGCCATCATCTTCACTTTGCCTACAGAAGCAGAATCGCCAAGATGTTAAGTTCCTTTCTAGCAGGTAACTGTCTAAAAGTGCAAGACAGAAACTTTTAGTAGTTAATAGTCCATTCATTTAACAAACACAAGATGAGAATAAATGATTTTACTTGCTCTTTAACTGACCATTTTTGTACAATATACGTTTAAAAGAGAAAATCTAAGAAAAAGTGATTGAGTTTATGATAATGGGTTTCCAGTCTTGCCATTTAAAAGGAAGTCATTTTAATCTCTGAAAGCCAATGGCTATTTCCTTGCAACTACACAAAGAATAACAATGCTAACCTATTGCAGTGGACAGTTAAGAAGCTAGAACTAAGCACAGTCCCAATAAGCTTAACAGGCTGAAAATAGATCACCGTGTCCGCTTCTGACATTGGAGCAGACAGTCCAAACAAGACATTAACACATTAACACAATACTCACTAGGTGCAGGACCTGCTATATCCTGAATATTTAATAGTCAACTTGCACAGAATTTTTACAGTGAGGAAAAAAATACTGCTTAGGTAATTTCAAGGGAAAACTTTTCATTTTTCTAAGTATGTCAATTATACGAATTAACATAATTTGTCAGGGCTCTTGTCATTATCTAAATCCCATACAACATGGAGTTCTCAGAAAAGTAAACTTCACAGTCATTATTTTCATGTATATACATTTTACAAACTCCTAATTGTTTTTTTTTTTTTTTTTTAAATCTGGGCATGCAGACATCCCACAGTCAAGTGAAAACATGCTGACCGCATATAAGTTTTGCCACAGACAACTAGCATACATCCCTTCCCTGGACAGCGCAGCATGCTATACAGCAATCCACCAGCTCAGCCCTGGCTGATGCCAACATGTGTATCTGCAATTCACTTAAGAGGAGAGGAGAGATGCACACACACCTTGATATGGTCCATCATAAGTTGCTTCTGTGCATATAAAAGAGAACAGTCTGGACACTTGAAAACAGACACCTTCTGGTTTTCAATGTGCTGGTCAAAGTGGCGGTACAGCAAGGTTTGCAGGGTGAACACAGTGTCGCACATGGAACACTTATAGATTATTCTAAAACAGAAGAAGCGCAGCGAAATAACGTCAGTCAGCCTCATGTCTCAAGTCAAGGAAGAGCCACGTGGCGTCTGAAGAACTCGGGAGGCAGAAGCACGGTGAAAACACACAAACACAATTAAAAGAACAACATTTTAGCTGTGAAACAAACTTTTCAAGACAACTGGAATCACTCAATCACAGATCAATCTTAACATTCTAAATAAAGATGTATTCAGCTACATCTGTATAGAAGACTAAATTAATGACCATTTTACTACTAACAGACCTATAACTGGCACGTATTTGTCAAAATCTTCATGTTACTTTAACTCAAAGCAGAAGCATCCTTTGAAGAGGGTGCTTAAGATGAGACAGGGCTATCCAGCTCAAAAATGGGACCCTAACCTGAAAAAGAATTTGATTAATGAGCTTGGAAGGCCCATTCAGCTAAATTCCCTGAGTAAGTTACTTGTTAAAACATTTTCCTTTAAAGTTAGCAGCAATTTTATACATGATTACCAATATTTCTCTGCCAGCTCTTTAAAAAGAAAGCTCTACGCCAGTAAATAATTATATACTGAGATAAAAAGACAGAAAAGCCCATACTACAAGAAAATTCATTGTTTCTTTTGCTTTCAATGATTTAAAGTACTCGTATGTCCACTACACTATTTCCACATCTAGTGTCATGCCAGCAACCTCCTTACAGTAAATGAACAGACCTGAATCTTCTGAACACGACCCCTTCTACCCACCTATACCCTCCGCTGAGGCTTGGGCAAGAGGTGCTCGGCAGAAATGAAGTGCGCACCTCTCAACCATGCTTTGCCTCTGACAGATCTGATCGCTCACTGTGAACAGCTTGGACACAGCAGGTCACCCTGCTTAGTAACTGCTGGTTATACAGCCCCTGAAGGAAGCCAGATCAGATTCTGTATGTCCTGTGAACAACTGTGGGAACAGGCACAAAGAATCCAGCAGGCAGCTCAGTAAAAGTTCAGAGAAAAACAAGCTGAAGACCACAAAAGCAAAAAGCAAAGTTGAGGTTTCGCTTGATATTCCTACAGCAAAGCCACAGAAAGGAGTGCCCATAGCACCACTTGTCTTTCCTCTCAGGCTCTTCTTAAGACACTGCTTCTCACTCAGCTTCAAACTTCACAGTGCAACGCTCTGTGAAAAGATTAAAGATTGAACTTTTTTTTTTTACTTTCTTCACATAATATTTATAAACTTAATTGCAGGGGCACATCTTCTTACGGGGTCTTGACACATTAATCTTCACCCCCACGTGGATGTCGCAAACATCAGACAAGGTCTGGCGGGACTTTACAATGCAGTCCAGCCCATGCTGCACCTCAGCAAGTGTAACAGACGTGACAAGGATGTTCATTCCTCACTGTCGCAAACCACTAGGGCTGTGAGCATATGCAGTAACACAAATGGTTAAACACCGCAACCACAAAGTTTTTTAATGGTGTAGACACATAGACCAATGACATGGAAAGAGTTTCACAAAAAAACAGATAACCAGACAGTATTATGACATAATCATATTTTTAAAGGGTAAAAAAGAGAACTACAAGTCATATAATTGTTATCTCAGCTGGATGACGGTACATGCATTCCTTTTATCGATTTACTTGTTTGTATTTCCTAGGCTTTTTGTTTGTTTTCTTTGGTAAATTAGAATATAACCATTACAAAACCAATTGCTTCGATAAAAGCACTGAGATCTACTAATTGGGATTTCCTCAGGATTCTAGTCTTCCATTTTCAGAAGTAACCATTTTGTGAAAAATGGCATGGCTCTCTTTTTACTCTAGGTACATTTCTTTAGGGAGCAGCTTTGTCTGTCTTGAGGTGTTACACCGATGAACTAAACTAGAGATAATGCATGCACCTGGCATCTTCCTGAGGAACCTGAGAATCAGGTTGTTGCAGTGTTATTGGAATAGCTTCCTACAAAACACTAAAAATTATAAAAGGGGATATTTCCCTCACGACAGTACAGGGCAGTAAGCTGGGAAAGACACACTCACTCACAGACAAAGGTGACACCACCAATACCGAGCAGGATGGGGGAACACTGCCTGAGCCCCCAGCGTGACCCCATGAGAAGAGTACACTATCATTTCGGAGACAATTCCTGCCAAGAGGCCGTGTCCTGTGAGAAAACACCATGGACAGATGCAAAGTCATCCTTAGGATGAAAGGCCTGTATTCTCTTTTAAATGGCCAAGACATGGCGGGAAGTGGATGGGGAGATGGGACAAGACAATTATATCTCAAGAGCATACCCAGATTAAAATTTTAGACACAGTCTCAACAAGAAGTGTGAATGCAGGTACAAAGTGGATGGAATTGTAAATAATATCAACTTTTTAACTTGAGATTTTGTGATGATTTGCATGTGTATCCTTTTCTCAAGGAGGAATAGAACTCATCAGAGTATTTAGGTCGCACTGTCCCCATTACTCCTAAATATAGGAGGGCAAGCATAGGATATAAGAATGGCTGGCTGGATCTAACACACTGAAAGTGCCAATGACTACAGAATCAGGTGAACGGGGTGGAAGACTTCGTACATTCTTCCTGTCTTTTTAGGACAGACACTATTAAAAATTGCTGCTAATAGTTAAAAAAATTTAAAAAAAAATGACAGTAACACAAAGTCACAGACAAATGAAGATGGAACAAACTCTGTGACAATGATGGGAAAGCCCCAGGGAGGCAGTGTGCTGGGCAGAGGAGGTGCGGCTGTCTGAACGGGGAGGGTCCCCTGGTGCCGAGGCACACTTCACCCAGGCAGAACCCCAGGGACCTGGGTTCCTGGGGGCAGGTGGGGCAGGCAGGGACTGCAGAGCTGGGCAGGGCTGGAAAAGCAAAGCTCAAAACCAAATTCTGCAATGTGTGAGTGCCAGTAACGATAGTGTAACACAGGGGAAGAGGATAAGAAGGAGAGAAAGAGAGAAAGAGAGAGAAAAGGGGAGGAGAGAGAGGAGAGAACAATGAAGTAAGGAAAGAGAGAAAGAACAGAAAGTTAGAACCGAACATACTCCTAAGGTCAAACTCGCAGCACCCAAAGCTCTCCATAAAACAGTGCTATGCGTGGGCTGGAGATAAAAACAAATAAATAAGGGACTCTGCCCCTCCAAACTGCTGCCAGAAACTTCCTACTTTACCAATGACTGAATCCAACGAGGTGCCAAGTACAGTCCTCCACATCACACACCGACTTCTCCCACCATCAGGTGCACGGATACTGCTAACCAGTTCACAGACAGCACAGTGAGACTCAGGAGTGATTGAATCATTTGCTTCATAGTCAATAAATGCCCGGGCCATGGCTCAAATGCAGCTTTTTCTGAGACCTTCCCTCTCCCGCAGTCCTCTACAACACAGACATCCTAGTTTTTCAAGCTTTATTTCTTAGAAACTTGTTTAAGAACTGTGTGTCTCCTATACAATTCTTAACTTTGGAGGTCTCATTTCTCCACTCACACATTTAAAAATAGCAAATAAAAGGAAGACACAGCAAAATAAACCACTGTTCATCAAATACTGATGAAAAAATACAAAGACACAAAACTTTACTCCCATAAAAATACAGGAGACATTCAAAATGATTTAAGTTACCAAGAGCATTACTAAAGTGTTTCATGTTTCCCTTTTTTTCAGAGACAGGGCCTTTCTGTATAATCCAGGATGGCCTTGAATTGGTGCTCTTTCTGCCTCAGCTTCCCTAGTACTGACAAAAGTATTGGGCTGGGGATGTAGCTCAGTGGTAGAGCATTTGTCTATCATGCATAAGACCATGTTCAATCACCAATATCACAAAAACAAAAAAGAAGCAAAATGCTTACATTAGTACCTGGAATACAGTAAATACCACACAAATGTATGTTAACTTAAAATCTTGCATTGTGAGCCATGGATATAGCACAAGGGTACAGTGTTTACCTAAGGTGCCAGGCCCTATGTTTGATTTCCAGCAGTGCACACGCACACACACACACACAATAGATAAATGAATGAATAAATAAATAATCAATCTTACATTGTGCTTTTCAAATTGAGGTGCAGGGGCTGCAGAACTCTATGGTGTATTTTCAAACATCCATATGTTCACTAAAGACAATGGGCGGAGGATTATTTTAATACTGATTGTTAAAAATTAATGCAAATCACTTGTGTAATTTTGGACTGTTTGCACAACTGCCTGTTAACCAAATGCTCCTAGGAGATTTCAGTGCCCAAGTTTTCTTTGGAGTGAAGACCACTTAATTAATTTTGGACTTACTGCCAAAATGGTTTGGACTTAAAGCTTTTGGGTCAAATGTAGGCCCAATGGCCCCACACTTGTTTTACAGTAGTGTGAATTGAAAGTGGTGGCAAAGAGAGGGCCGACTCGGGCTCGCCATGGCAGAGAGCTGCCAAGCTCACACAGCCGAGGCAGCAGCGTTCTTTGACATAGCAGTGGTGTCCCCGAGAAACGGAAGCACCCAAAGCCCAGCACACATCAAACTAATGCTGGTAACAAACTTTGTTGGCTTAGGAGTTTTTGCATTTTCTTCTGTAAAATCTATTACTTAGTTTTTAGCTTAAAATATAGTAGTGTATCTAATTTTAGGGTTGTACTTTTAAAGAACCATGTAACAAAAACAAAAACAAATTATGTTTTTAAAATACAGGAACAATCTTTTTCCCATGAAATAAAGCAGCCCTCCTTTATCCATGGGGTATATGCATAGAAAACCTCAATAGATGCCTGAGGCTGTCCTAGCACCAAACATTATAACTTAATGCTATTTTCAGCTTAGCACTTCTTATGTACTATGGCTATAACTTTTTGCCGTTGGAGGTATGACTGCAAAACTAACACAAATTTCTCTCTTTCTTCAAGATTTCATGAATAGACTTTTTTTTAAAAAATCATAGATCTTAGAAATCTCAACATAAATGATATTTTTTCTTTCCTTATTAAATGTAAAAGAGTTCAACCTCTTTCCTTAAAAGAAGTACTCTGTGCTTCTCTTTGGTATATCTGAATCACCAGTATCACTACTCTTGTGCTTAGGCATCATTGTTATGTAAAATAAAGGTTACTTGAATACAATCACTGCCACACTGCAAAAGTCAATCCAATCACATGTTGGACTCTATGTTGCTAACAGACAGGTAGATTATGCAGCAAGCATATACTGCACAATGAGATGATTCAGGTCTTGATGGAGCAGGATGGCAAAAGATCCTGTTATATTGCCCAGAATGATGCACAATTTAAAACTTAAAAGCTGCTCATTTCTGAAATTTTCCATTTAATACATTCGACCATAACTGAAACCACAAAAAGTAACACTGTAATTAGGAAAGGGATTATTGTACTCAAATTTGAGGAATATCATTTTAGTTTATTTTAATCATCTGCTGCCTCATATTCCCAGGTCACAACTATTATTCCAGATTTAATGCACATTTCAGACAATTAAGTTCAATTTTTGAATAAGGAATCAAATAATTATATTCACTGGGAAAGAAAGGCTGCTTTCATATAAAATATCTTATTATCAGGGATATAGCTCAGTGGCATAAGCGACTACCTGGCAAGCGGAAGGTCCTGAGTTTGATTCCCAGTACCAAAAAAAAAGTTCAATTACCATGAACACCAACAGACACTAACACTCACTAATCCCTGTTTTCAAAAGTAAGGCACCAAATTGCTCATAGATCCCCAATTTCTACTGTGCTTCATTTTGCATGTTAATATAAAACAAATCAAAGATCCTATTAGAATAAAATTAGAATTTAGCATTTTTAAGTAAATAATCATTTCTACTTACTCTTTTTAAGTTTTCAATCACACTGCCCATTAACTAAATGTTACAATAAAAGCTACACATTTAGAGAGAAATAAACCGATACTGTATCACATATCTGCATATTTTCCCATAATGACTCCTTGATAATGGAATTATAGACAAAAATACACCAACAGATTTGGAGAGCAAATCTAGCCTTAAATAATTATCAAACTACACTGCCATAGTGAAACCAGAAATGAGATGAATACAACCAGAAGCATCTAATTCAGAGCTATATAAACAAGAAAGAGTGAAGAAATGCAGGAAGGAACTAATGCTTCCACATTCCCACAGAGACAGTACAGTACACATTTTAAAGGTCATCTCTTCAGCTTGTCACAAACCACAGGATGCAAGCCATGCTCTCAATTTATAGGAGAGAAAACAGCAGCTAAGACCCGTAAGTATCAGACCCAAGTACATGGCTTGCAGGTGGTGGGTGGGTTATGACCAGGCCCTTTACTCAGGCTCCCTCCTCTGTGACCCTGTAGGAAGGGATCCTCTGTCTGCTGACGAGCCAGTTCATTATTAAAAACTCCACCACAAAGCAAAAATTGGTAAAACGAAGATCAAAATTAAGGCAAAGCAAAATTTATTCCCACTAATGAAGGACTTATACTAGCAATGACATTAAGCTCATTAATCAATGTTTTAAGCTAACTTCTTCTTATAAGTACTACTGGGAAAAGTGTAACCTACTAATAAGAAACTATGAAAAAAATTTAAAGGGCAGTTTCTTAAAAAATAATTTTCCTAGAATTTACTTGTGAAAATCATCTTAAGAATAAAATATATAAATATCCACTTTAGCAAAAATTAATGATAAGAGCATAGATAATAAGTGACATTTGGGGACAAAGACTTTACCTGGAAGAACAGAAAGGTTTGCATCAGCCATAAGCCATACTTCATAAAGCATGAAAACTGGAATAGCTGCATAATTCTTTGCACCTTAAATTTTACTGAAAAAGACTACCTCCTCTAAATGACTAATAAAGCAGAGGAGCACAAACTGGAAGTCGGTGTGACTTACTTTGGTTCTCCTATCTTGACGCCAGGATGCTGAGTGTAGGCATGGGAATGTGTACTCGGGGCAGACTTAAATGCCATTGGACAGATAGGGCACTTGTAGAAGACTTCACAGTGAGAGCCTTGAATGTGAGACTTCAGTGCAGCCACATCAGAGTACACAACATTGCAATGCACACATCTGTTAGAAAAACAACACAGTCATTAGCACAGATCTCTAAACATGTATGGCTTCTCTGTGTGAGACTTAGGTAACACGAACATGTTTTATAGCCAATTTAGGTTTCTTAATGGCTTTTTGAAAGTATTTTTTCCTATTTACAATAGATTATAATTATTTTTATGTTTGTAAGAGAAGATCATAAAGAAGAAAACTGAAACTCAACAGGTCAATTTTTGAGCATCTTTAAGCCTAGAGACAGATGGGTCATGGCAGCCAAATGAGCCCAAGGAACATAACAAGCCCTCCAACTCCTGGCTTTGGGGAGGACCTCAATGTGTGCTGCATTCTGACACCGGTGCTCGAGGTCCCCCCTAATCCCAGTCCACAAATGGCATTTCCAATGGAAGAAATCCTTGCAGAGAGAACCCAAAGCCTCTCCTGGAAAGGCAGAGACACAAAAGAGCATAGGCTCCCAAGCAATAAATACCCACTGTCTTCTGGCGCACACTGTGTGGATGAAGCATCTGGTATACCTATATAAGGTGACCACAGCATAGAGAAGGTCAACCCTCTAGGTCTTCTGTCTTCTAGAAAAGAAATTTGAATACCTTTCGATATAGTCAAGAAAGAACATGAATTGTAAGCTTCGGAAAATTTAGTACTCTGAAAAAAATTATCTCTAGCTAACTTCCTTACTTTATAAATTCAAGTAATATAACAATTAGATCATTTGTTGTTCCCATCCAACCCCACAGAAACAAACCTGGGTGTACCTGAACATGTGTGTTCCTGAACATGTAGGTGCATTACTTGTAAAGACCACAGGCAGGCTCTGCCTTCCATGAAGCAGTGCCCACTGACTTCCATGGTTGCTAGGACATGTCCACTCTCAAAGGCTCCCTTCAAAATCACAGACACTGTCCTTGCAAAGCCACACAGGAGTGGCACGTTTTGAACTCTATGAATTATATGAAAGCGTGCTACATTAGGCTTTGCACATAGTTTTTTAAAAATTGTAATTAATCCATTAGTATGTCTTAAGGCATAGTGTTCAGTGACACAAACAAAAAGACACTAAATAACAAAAAAAAAGAAGGAAAGCTTCACTATATCATCTACTAGAACTGTTATTTCAGGTAATACATACAGGAACCATCCAAGATACTAAAACTCTTCTGAGTTAATTTGTCTTGCATAGGTTAATGTTTCTTCAAGAGTCAGTTACTTCTAAAACGAAAAGAGTCGAAAAAGATCACTTTTACTCCTTCTCAACTCTAGAAGCTCATGACTCCAGGAAAAGAGGAGACTGCACAAAACTGGAGCGGCTGGGTCAGTAAAACCAAGGATCCACCACAGCACAAATCACAAAGATCCTCTCATCCAGGGTAAGAAGTCAGAAGATCAGAGAAGGACAAAAAAGGAAGAAACAGAAAAGCACCAATTCTCTGCAGTCATTTACAGAGAGAAGCGCGAGGTCATGAGTTCCATCCCTGGTACCCACCCCAAAGTCACATTTACAGAGAAAAGAGATTTAATTCACAGAAAGCACAAAGGTTAAAGAATTCAAACTAAAAAAAACTAAAATCATTTAAACTTCAGGTGGCAGTTTTTGAGGCACAACAAAGTGGTATTGACTTACTTCAAAATCATTAGACAGGCCAAAAGAATGCCCTTTTCTCTTTTTTGGAGGGAGTGAGGGTACACTGGGTATTAACTCAGGGCTTCTTATATGCTAGGCAAATGTTCTATCACGCAGTTACATCTCATCCTACTTACTTTAAGACACAGCCTCACTAATTTGCACAAGCTGGCCCTGAACTTGTTTCTCCTGCCTCAGCCTCCTGAGTGGCTGCGATTACACACGAGCACCACCCAACACAGCCAAAAAAAAGCTTTCCTTGAAGTGACAAACCAATGGGAAAAAAAAAAAATGACAAAACAATGCAAAGTATTTTTAAAGTCTTACAGAGCAAAGCTATAAAGACCTACCTATAGGTGATACAGAGATCAGCAGGGAATGCAAAAAAGGTAGGCATACAGAACAGAATTTCAAGAGCTCAAACAGTATCTTAATGCTACTAAAAATTCAATGTATTAGGCTGGAGATTTAGCTCAAGAGCATAAGCGCCTGCCTTGCAAGCACAGAATAGTGAGTTTGATCCCCAATATCAAAAAAGAAAAAAAAATTCAATGTATTGAGAAATATTTAATATATCTGTAAGTCCCTTTCTTTTTATTTTATTATTTTTCCCCTTTTTTGAGATGGAGTTTTGCTATGTAGTTCAGGCTGTTCTTGAACTCACTTTGTAACCTAAGGTGGCTTTAAACTCACAGCAATCCTCCTGCCTCAGATTCCCAAATGCTGGGATTACAAGTGTGGACCACCTTTTCTTTATTTTCTAAATAGTTTTCTATTTTAACAGTATACAATCCCATAAGACGTAGATCCAATGTATCAGGAGGCAAGAAATTCAGAAAAAGAGTCAACTTTTATCAATATTTGACTTTTACCAAGTTAACTAGGAACGAAGAGACCCTCAGTATTTGAGAAATGCATTATGAAAATAAGAGATTAAGATACCTGCATCAGAAACAGACAAAAACGGGTATAGGAATCATGTGACAAACTTCTCTGGCCACAGAAAAAACGAACTAAAAATAATTAGCTATGCAGACAAAGGAAAAGACAAACACGACAAGGTCAACAAGCTGCCAAGCCCAGCAAAGTATCAGACTGGACTATTACTTGAGTAGCAGAGGAAAAAAAATCAAGGTTAAAATGTTCATCTCTCTTCTCAAGAAGGTACAAACATAAACTTCCTAAGAGACTTAACAGTATTAATACATAATAGGACTTTTAAACTTTATATAGTCTCCAGTCAAGCAGAAGGCAGCTACACTTAACACAAAACTTAACAACTTGAAATATGTAACTCAAAGCACTAAATTTAAGGAACTGTAGATGGATCAAAAGGGAAAGCACAGATGGTCTTCTTCCAAGCGAGCCTATTACTTTCAGGCTGCATGCACAGCGTCTGTCTTAGCAAAAGACAGTAGGAATAGCTTCATTCCAACCTTGGCTTGTTTCCATTATATTGGAAGAATAAAGTAAACGTTTGAGGAAAGTCTGGCATTAATGAAAAAAACAGTATGTCACAGAGCTGCCTTGTATTATTATACATGGAATATTATACGTGGAACCTGCTAATAATAGTTTCAAAATATGTGATAAAAGGCAAACTATTATCCAGTACGGACCCTAAGAATCTAAAGCATCCGATTATCCTGTTTTTATCATCTCACTGGCACTGCTCACAGTCAGCCCACCAAGTTTATAGGCAGGGCACCAGGACACCGAAAGAATGCATGAATGTCTACACAGTTAGTGACAGGCAAAACAGGTACTGTACGTAAAATTCTGGTTTTCCTGATTTCGAAACCAAAGTCTCCTACCAGCCTAGATTCACGGACAGTCTTGGAGGCATGAAAAAAAGAGAGGTCAGTCTCATAATTTAGTATTAGAAAAATGGGCAAAGTCACTCAATGATACCATAATCTACATTTAAATAAAATAAAACCGTAACACCATCCAGTCATAACTGGGTTTCACTTTTACAAAATATAACCTGACTATAATTTTTAAAATTAGTACACATTTTACAATCTAACATTAAAGTTACTGGTTAATCAAACAATATTAACATAAACAATACAGTAATACCTCTATTAACAAAGATGCTGCCATATATGACACATTTTTTTGGGAGATTTTCATGGAGTCAAAACATGTATGGCACAGGAAGATCATAAAGTGGAGAATAAAGTTCAGTGCATTGACACTGAATATTAAACTAATATTAAAATTTTCAGATACTATAAAATACACATCTGGGAATCTTTGAAAGCAGTGAAAAGGGCCACATTTAAGCTGTGCAGGAGACAATGGAGAAACCTCAACTCGGAAAGGAGGAGCAGAAGGAGGAAGGAAAGGTTATTTGGAGTGGAAAGACTTCCACAGTGAGCGATGTGAGAAAAAGTTACATACCAGATCCTTTGGTATAGATAAAGTAAGCATCCATCTCACCATCTGTTTTCATTAGCAGAAGGAAAGTACTAAGAAATGCAGAAATACATGGTATTCTTGCAGGGGTTAAAAAGCAGGCAATGTAACAACAAAAGTGTACTCAAGTTTGGTGTAATGGCACACACCTGTAATCCTAGCACTCTGGGAGACTGAGGCAAAAACAATGCAAATTTGAGCCCAGTTTAGGAAACTTAGGAATACCCCGTCTCAAAAAAATAAAAAAGATCTGGGAATGGAGCTCAGTGCAAAGGCCCTGGGTTCAATTGCCAGTACAATGCTCCCCCTCAAAAGTGTACTAAAAAAGATGTAGGGGCCGGGGATTTAGCTCAGCCACATAAGCGCCTGCCTAGCAAGAGCGAGTCGTAAGTTCAATCCCCAGTACAATGTAAAAAAAAAGATGCAGGTAGAAAAGGCTATGATAGTTGATCATAAGTCAAGCCTCTACATATAGGGCTGGGGATTTAGCTCAGCGGCATAAGTGCCTGCCTTGCAAGCAGACAGTTGTGAGTTCAATCCCCGGTACCAGTAAAAGGATAAAGACCAAAAAAAAAAAAAAAAAAAAAAAGCCTCTACATATGCACACCATTACCTAAAGGGATCAGCACACCTATTAACAGCTTTGTATAGACAGCAAAGCCAACACTACCTTAAAAGGATCTAAACTGGTCAATTTTAGTACAAATGAGTTAGGTTTCCAGAGGAACTGTTAATCAAGGTATTACTGTATGGCCTGAGAACTACATGCACAGAGCACTCCAACCCCAGTGTAGTTATTAGTGAACAATATACTGACCGAAAACCAACTCTCCGCGTGTAGTGCAGACAGTTCTTGGTGACGTGGGTCTGGAAGTGCACCGACCTGCAGATGGCCCCACACTCAGGACAGGTGTAGGGAGATTTGTGCTGATGGATTCTCTGGTGTGATGCATAACTGCACTGGTTAGGAAGCAGCATCTGGCAGACAGTGCAAGTCTTCTAAATAAACCAAAGGGGGAAACAGTGTTGGTCCTGCTAAGTATTTTCTAATATGCAAAGAACCTTGGTTAAATCTTACAGTCATTACACCTCTCATTTCAAACACTACTATAATTGATTCTATGCCCAGTGGAAAAGCAAATTTAAAAATTACATTTCAATGGAAAATACTTTACCCTGTAAAAAATAAAAATTATCTGTATTGGGCAGTCAGGTTTATCCCTAAATACCAGCTAAAGAGAATGCCAGTCTTAACAGTTCCAATTTAGTTATTTTTGCATTTTGTTAAAAGGAAGAGACTTTCTTACAAATTATGTTAGCAGATCAACTTTAACTTACTGTATTAAGTTTACAGTCCTATGCATCTTGTGGATAGTCACAGTTCTCATGATTCAAAAAATTTCTTTAAAAATAATAAAAATTAACCAGAGGCTACTTCAGTTTCTTTGTTTCTCCCCTAGTCATTTCAGTTATTTGAATTCTGAAACAGAATGCAAAAGAATGGCCACAGCAATTACTTTTCTTTCTGCACTTAAATTTGGCTTTTAAAAGAACAAACTGACCAAAACATAATTTATAATTTAGACCAATGAATTTCAGCCCTGATATATAAACGTAGACATTAAGTTGAAATTTTATAAAGCTTAAGATTTGATTGCATATAAAATACAATGAAGACTGAAATCCTCTTTGGAAAAGGCTCTGTGTTAACTGCTCAGGGGAAAAGGAAAACAAACTGAAATATACTATTTTTTCATCCCTCTAGATGTTAACACCAAATACAGTATAATTTTAAAACAAAAAACCAAACATAAAGTCAATGTAAACTTACTACTTGTACTCTACAAAAACCCTAAAACAACATTAGATCAATGTGCTTGAATACTTTCAGACATTCATGCAAAAACGTGATTTGTTTTTATATTAAAACAAATCTCTAAAATACATGATTTGTGTTTGTATTAAAGTCAAAGAAAGCTTCAAAATACAAATTTGTGCTAAGATTTTAAACATTCTCTTACATTGACAACAGTTTCAAATTTTAGAGCTTCTAGCTTTTCAATAAGCCCAAAATATAAAATTTAAACTTCAGAGTGACTTAGACCAAGAAAAACAGAAAACTCACTTGAAAATTCTTTCTTGGTTTTCTCCTGAAAGGACTAAAATACAAATTTTATTCCATAAAATGTTTATTATAATCACAAAATAATAACATTACAGGCAGCCTTGGTGAGGTTAGCGTCATTTAAAAATAGCATTCCTTTTCTGATAACACATATTTCAACGGTTAAAACAAGCCACAGCAAGGAAACAATCAAGATTCATCATCACAAGATCCTGTTAACATCTGCATTATTACCAGCAATCATTTGTTTCTTTGAACTAAAATAGTCTTCTATCTACCATCACACAGTCCTTAATCCCACGTCATGAATTAATGAGGTCTGGATTTCATAGGCATCTTAGAACGTCTTGAATTTGCTTGGGAATAAAACTCTTATTTGTGATACTAAAAGAAGTCAAAAAACATTATATATCTATACATATATCCATACATACACATTATGCATTTATATACACATACATATTATATGCATATGTATATATAAAAATAGACTGATCCCATTTCACCAATGACTCATATGATAAATCAAGTACTTTAAATACATAAATAAATTTAAATACACCATCTCATTTATTTCTCATAGTAATCCGTGAAGTAGATAATACTTCCATTTACAGATGCAGAAATGAGGCTTAGTAAAGAAATTTTCCCAAAGCCCCACCAGCTATTAAGTCCAAAAATCAGGACTGAATCAGGTTCTAATCAAGCTAAGGTTTCTGATAGAGGAGTGATGGAAGGAATGAATAGAGGTTATAAGGAATGAACAAAAGGAAAAATACACAGGATTGAAAACTAACTTAATAACTTAACTTATTTAAGTATTAAGTATAAATAAACTTAAATGCCAAAGACGAATGCCCAAGACAACCATGTCACATTCAGATTAGAAAGAAATCTGTACCCCTTCTCACAGCAGCTTCCCCATTATCTAAAGTATTTCACTACAGTGCTAGCTTGTTAACAGTACAAAATAAAAAGAAAATCTAAGAATATGAAGTGTCACCTAAAGGCTTAAAAACAAAACTTTTCACATTATCATTTGAGATATAATAACAAATGGTTAACCTTCACAGTACACATGAAATGCACAATGAGTTACTTAAATCCATCATCATGTCTCCCGGGCCCCAGACCACAAGAATCAGCGCTCATCCATTCCACCAGCCGAAGTTCTTCACCCACATCACATACACGGAAGCGTAAGGAGAAGGGGGAGCCAATAAGGACTAGAACCGCAAATAAAAATGCTTTCACATTCTGCAACTGCTGAAATGGGAGAATGTGGTGGCTTGAGAGTCATGCTGAACACACAGAGGCCTTATCTTCACACAGATGCATGCATATTTTTATATATATATACTGCATCTACGCCCACATCTGTTTACAGTTTCCACACCTTGCCTCCATTGTATTTTGAGAAAAAGTGTTTTCTTTTCTTTATAGACTCCTGAAAATTTACACAGTACCAACAGTTTTACACCCTTGACACGATTTACTTAACAGTCCTGAACCTGTTTTATGGTCAACATGTCATTCCTGCACCCCAAAATAGTAGTCATACGTTTCCACAGCACAACTAGTATATTCCACTAGTCTTTCTGAGATGCTCTCAATTCTGAACAAAGGTGCATGTTTTCTGGATTTAGGAGATTCACTTGCATGGTGAGAGGAGGATGAAAAGAATTTTTGTGGTTTAAAAGAATCTGACTTTCCCTTCCTCCTTTTTTCTTTTTAATCAAAAAATTAAAACATACCTAAAAATCCTAACACTCCACTGTTCAAAGCTGAGGCTACTGACTAGAGAAAGAAATGGTTTAATTTGCTGGCACCTGCCTTTTAAGATAGAAGCATGCGGGGCTGGGGATTTAGCTCAGCGGCATAGGCGCCTGCCTGCCTTGCAAGTAAGTAAGTGGTCACGAGTTCAATGCCCAGTACCGATTAAAAAAAAAAAGACAGAAGCATGATACAATGTACTCACATGATCTACTTAGGTACCTTGATATTTTACTCATGTCATCAGAAAAGAGATTCATATTTTCAATACTCAGGTAAAAGCTAATTTCTCATCTATTACTTTTTAAGGCAGTTACATTTCAGTAGAGTCCTGGAGCTAAAAAGCTATAGGAAAATAAAGCTGGGAAGCTAACACATCCTGTACTTTGCAATTACCCTTCTGGAGCCCTTTCAGCCCAGTCCTGGCACTGAAAACAACTGCTGATATATGACACACAGACAGGCTGTGGGGAAGGGCAAGAGGACCCAGGATGGCCCTACTAGCGAGTCACAGAGGCCTTTAGGAGTCACACAAGATGGAGCTCAGCATCCTCTTTCTGTCTTAAGGAAATATCAGAGTAATGAAGAAAGTAGGTCTACATGTTTGAATTCATATTTAAGCAGAAAAACTGCCTGAGAAAGGAGCAAAGGGAAGAGTGAGAAATGTAAATAAACATGGCATATTTCATGCTTAACTTCAAACTAAAAGCCTGCAATAACATGCAATACTGAATTCAAAGGTAAAACACTGCCAGTTTGTAATCAGCCAGATGCTAAGTAGACTGCCGTCGCCACCTTAACAGTAATTCCGTAATCTAACTACAGAGTTACCAAAAAGTAGTAATAATAAAACATACCAGCTTGTTTTCTGATTTTCACTTTCATCCAATTCCACAGTAAGAACACAAAGAAAATATTTCACTTGAGATCTTACTTAATTAAATGGGAACAACACAAAGCATGCTAGGAGAAATGACAACAAACATTCTTTTGTGGGATAGCTTTGTCCTCAGATCATCCTGGTACACCTAAAACCGCTGGGAAGAGTTGACAGTTAAAGGAACAAGTTGACTGAAAGTGTATGGATGATGTATTTTATCTACCTAGATGATTATCCCTGAAGAGTACAGATAAATTTGAGCATTGGTAACACTACGAAACTGCAACATCACTGATCTGAGCAAAACAAAAACAGAGCAGAGCCATAAATCTTAGGTAATAATATCTGGGGAGGTTGGAAGGGCCTTCTTGGTTTCCAAGAGGAACTGATCAAGCAAAGTGCATATAGAAACTGGATCACTGGGCCAGGGATGTAGCTCAGCAGCACAAGCACCTGCCTGGCAAGCGTGAGGTCATGAGTTTGATCCCCAATACAAAAAAAAAAAAAAAAAATTGGTACTGCTCACAAGAACTTAATACTCTCAATGTTAATGATGCCTGAAAGTTCCTGAAACTAAAATGAACAGCAATCCCTAAAAATCACGATGCCTGCAGATATTTCACCCTGCTCTGAACTTTTAAAGCCAATTTGGATATACCCCAAGGGTTCTTTCTCATATGAGACCCCTTGCTAGGACAGCCTACGCTGCCATATACTAGGGTATCAGCATGATGAAGCAAAAAGGTAACAAGCCAGCAGTAAAGAAACTTTGCCTTAAAAAGTATTTTTTTAAAGAAAGAATCCTTGCCTTGCCCTGGTTGTCCCACGATCTATCTAAGCATTTGTTTTTTTCAGTTGTAAAATGGAAGAGCAGCCCAAAGGGACCTATTACATTCTCTGAGTCTATGCCTGACATAAATTCCATGGAAAGAAAACAGACTTTAACAATTAAGAGGTTACAACAGGCACTTCCAGTCTCAACTTGGCTAAATTTAATCATGGTTTTACTAAGAAGTGAAGCAATGATATAAATACATTTAAATATCAATTGTTGAAACCACAGTCATCAGCTCTTACTGCAGGGAGACAAAGAACTGTCTCTGGCCTCTCATCCCACTCCCCTTCTCAGGGTGCCCCAGGGCAGGCACCACCGCATCAGACGGGTCAGCACCACCGGAGGTCAGAACAGGAATCCTCAACTGGGGCAAATTTACTGATGTAAAAAACACAACTGGCCACGAGTCCATTTTCATTGCATTCCCCGACTCCATACAACCTGTGAGGGACGTCACCCTCCCTCTCCTTCTGCTGCCTACTGCCCACCCCTCACCTCCTCTATAAAACAACTTCTTTCTACAGGAACTATGAGTTGGCAAGGTGCAGTGAGGCAGGTGAGACTTCATGCTTTAGGTTCCTCCACCAAATCACTTGCCAGGTAGTGAAAAACTCCAAGATTGGGTTCAAGTTTGAACAAAGGAGAAAGCAAAGAAGGCTTAAACTAAGTCCTATATCCAACCCTGCTCTTCTAGGACCTGCTGGCTGCATGGCCTGTGCGCAGAGCTGGCTCCCCGTTACTTTCATATAGACCATCACAGACAGCAGAGGAGGAGGCACAGCAACTGACAAGGCAAAACATGGCAACTGCCAATAACGCCTCCCTTTAGGCTCTAATAGGTGGGCACGGCCTGGAAAGAGTGAACACCCATGCTCGGAACCGGCAGAGGAAGATGCGGCGCACACAGCCACCCTGGGGTGGGGAAGGGTCCCATGGTTCTCAGGACTGGAAAATGGGAGGCGCTGTGCTGAACGCACACAGAACACAAAAGGTAAGGCGAAGAGGATGAGAATAAAAAGAAAGGAGATGAGACTGAGCTAAACCGAGAGCTGTCCGTTCTGAGAAAGAAGACTGAGGCTTCCACTGGGTTCCCCAGATGAGGGAGGGAAGAAAGGTGTGCCTCCTTCCTAACTCAGGTGTGAGGCAGGGGAAGGCAGGACAAATACGGGAGAGTCCCACGCTCTCTCCAACCCTCAGCGAGTTACCAGGAATACAGACGGCTATGGTAAAGCAGAAAGGAAGGGTTTTTAACCCACGGGACATGGTAGACAACAGAGGAAAGGAGAGGCTGAGCACAGTCTTGGTGCTGGAAGTGACAGTGGTTCCCAGGAAGGAATCCTGTTCCCCCTCCTCTAGGGGCCTCCTGCATGTTAAGCCAGCCGGCTACCCAAGCCACATCCTAGCTCTTTTAAGGGTCTCATTAAATTGGCCAGACTGCCCTTGACCTTATAAGCTCCCGAGTCAGCTTCTAGAGTAGCCAAGATCACAGATGTGCACCATCATGCCCAGCAAAACATTTCTGTAGGTTTATTTCTCCCCTGATTGAGTTCAAGTTTAAATTATAAACTGGCCAGTAATCTGTAACTAGCAAACTGGAAAGACGAATGAAGTTTATGCTCCCTTCTTCCTTTCCTTTTTTTGGGGAAGGTGGTTTCTGGAGATTGAAATCAGGGTCTTCACACTGAGTTACACATTCCCAACCCTTTTTTTGAGACAGGGCTAAGTTGCCCAGACTGGGTTTCTTGGCATCCTCTTACCTCAGCCTTCCTAGTACAGATGTGCACCAGCATGCCCTTCTGCTGCAGATCTACAGTTATTCATACCAGGCGTGGTAAGGACCACCCTACCTCCCAGTGCATTATGAGGCTAATACACAACAGCTGTATGTATCCTGCTGACCTCCTCGGGCTGTGCTAGAGATCCGGGTGGGTCTCATAGTAGATGCTGAAGGAGTACCAGCCACTGCTGAGATGCAGGATAGAACAGGATCCCTACCTGAATCCCTACCTGCTTGAGTATGAAAACAAGAAACTGTGAAGGGAGTCTGCAGTACAAGGGGAAATGAATGGTAGGAGAATACACAGGGCATTTTTATGCCTCTAACCCTGTAGGATATGGCTACATTATCAGCTGAAGTGTTTTCTCTCTTTCTCGCTCTCTCATTCATAGATATATATATCCGTCCATACTGAGCATGAGAATTAGGTAAACATAAGGAAGGTCAGAGAGTGGGAGCAATGTGCTTTGCTTCGTGTAGATTTGGCCCTACAGTTAATGTACCAAGGCTCATTCATTATGATCCAGGTAAGACGGATCCCTATCCAAGCAAAGAAACAGGGCACACAACAGAAGATACTCATCTCCTGCCCACAGGGAAAGAACATCCCTGTTTGACAGCAGTTTAAACATTGAGTCTAAAAGGTAAATAGAGAATAAAAACAGGAGGGATCCAAGGATCGTGGGAAATTTTTACCTATAGCCTTCCATGTTCCTGGAGAAAGAAGACAGACACATCTGAGGACAGTTCCAAACTGAGGAGAACCTACTAGTGAGGTGGTGTGCAAACCCCTATGGATCAGGACAGAGTCCATCATCCATACGACCAACGAAAACAGGAACATAGGACAAACTGTTCTAAAAAAATGGTTTTAGGGGTTTTCCTTTTACTGTATACTTTTTTTTTTACTGTATACTTTTAAGGGAAAAGAAACATTATCTTTTGAGGAAGTAATGATACAATATAGGGTTGTCCAGATAAGACAGAATCCAAGCAGTATCACTAGGATCTGCCCCCTCAGAGATACAGCAATCACTGTTGCCCCAAACTACATAGCTGCTTTCAGATTTTAGTGATCTATTGTAGAGCTGCAGATACATTACACATCGAACCTGCAAGCACATTGTCTAAAGTCTTCCTTGTTTCCACTGCCATTAAACTGAAAATCCAAAGAAAACTGAAGTATTCTTGATCTTTAGTTATACAAACTTAAACTCCTACAAATGATTTAAATCAGTAGTAGCCCTTGAAAAACTAGGCAACAAGACAATACCAGACTTCTGAAACACAGCACAACTTCCTAATTAATAAAATATTTCAGGAAAAGATCATTTCACACATTTGATGATTTGGACAATACATTACATTGTCTCTAGAGCCTAAAATTATTTCATTTGGCATGCCAGATTAATCCAAATACTAGGTATATTTCCTGAACATATTTATCTATCTATTAGTCAAAAATTGCCTCGTGGAGAGAAGTAAATGATAGACATAAAAGGCCAGTGCATGTTGTGAAATATACGTCACCATCACCAACCTTCATTTCACTGCAAACACTCATAAAGGTATGCTATTTAACTGGACATGAGTATGCCACGTGTAGCTTAAATTCACTGCAGCAAAGAGTATTACTTGAGTATACTTTTGAACCAGTGTCTTAAGTAGACATGCCATGAAAATGGGCACCTATTAGGTGTGTTTACAAAAGTCACTTTTGTATTATGAACAACAGTAAACGTTTAAGATTCCAACATTGTCACTAATAACTAAGCACTGTATGATGTAGCCCAAACTGAACACTTAATACAATTGAAAGACACAATAATTAGCTAAAATCTCAGCTTCCAAACATAAACTCCAATGACTGCACAATTACCTAAATCTAAAGTACCACAACTCAACCAGTATGTATACTTTATAGCTGGCTAAAATGATCATCTTCATGTTTCAACACTGCTTCTATTCTATGAAGACAATCCTCCTGTGCTTACTTACATTACATGCACCTACCCCCTCTGCTTAACTCCTCTGCCATCCCTAAAATCGAGGCATCTTACTGAGCATTCATGGCTATACTCATCACTGAAACATCAAAATTTAAATGATACTCTACTTGTCCACTTGTATCTGCAGCCTGCTGGAAATGTGTAGCCAGCGACGTCTCATCCTGGAAGACTTCGTTACACTCCAAACATTTGAGGCTGTGTCTACAGAGTTTGGAGGGGTCTTCGTCTAGGGGCATGGCTGGGGTGATGGGTGTGCTTGAAGGAGCTGATATGACTGTCCCAGTTATGCCAGACTGAATTTTTGTAACAGTGTGTGTGCCAGCTCCCACAGAGCTCTGCAGAGTGAGAGATGAAGTGGAAGTATTGCTAGACGGAGAAACTATCATCTGATCTGCAGGGACTGGCTTTAAAATTAAGTGGGAGCATTGCATTACCACTCCTTTTTCCTTATGCCCACGAGCATGGGAAAGGAGGCTGCATTTGTTGTAAAAAACGAGGTTCTTTGTACAATGGTTGCATGTTACTTCAATGCGCACACTACGCCTGTCGTAGTGCTGGGTCAGGCTCTTTTCCAGTGCGAAGGAGTCGCCGCACTCCAAGCACTTGTACCCACGGGTTGGTATTGTGATCCCTGCATTGGCGGGAGGACTGAGGTTTGGGATGTAAACTGGGACTGGATTGACACTGCTCAGCACCTTGTTGAAAGCTTCCACCACAGAACTCTGCAAGGACGACACCACTTGCACTCGAGACACCTTTTTGGGTGGTTGTGAGGCCGCTGCATTGATTATTGCCTGCTTTATTTGTTGCTGAGGTTTAGTTAGCACTTGGCGGAGTTCAGAAGTGGCCTGGGCACCCTGAGGCAGAAGGTTAAGGTTGGCAAGGTGCACAGTCTTTGGCACAAGTTTGGCATTGGCCAGGCTGGATGCCGGCACCACCACGGTTTGCTGCTGAATGGCGTTGGCGGCTTTAATGATGGCACTGCTAGCACTCTGAACAGAGGCAGCAGATATGACTGTAGCTTTCACTGTTGTGTTGTTAGCAAGCTTCAAATTGATGACTTGGGACCCTGCCGTCTTGACAGCAGACACAGGCAGGAAAGCAGTGGCCACAGGCTTGATGGTGACCTGCTTAGGGGTCAGCTCTGCAGGAGAAACTGCATTGGTAACCACAGCTGACTGGAGTGGTGCCCTAGGGGGAGAGGACAGAACAGCTGCTGATGCTGGAGATGACAGAAGGGATGTGACAGAGGCCATCACAGACGCAGTCTGTTCAGAAGGCTTCTTCCCAGAGTCAAGATCCACTTCTGGCAATACCCTCGTCACTGTTCTCTTGATCTCCCCTGAAGACGTCTTAATGGTTTTGATGCGGACTTTGGGGATTGCTGGCGTAGATCCTGCAGGAGAGGATGGGGAGCCTTTGCTGCTGTTCTCACTTGAGATGCTCCTGGGACTATCTGGTGGCTTCAAGGAAGCTTTCTTGGTGCCATCGATGAGACTCTGGGACTCAGGAGACTTGTCGGTGGCTCGTGGACTGTCATTTACTTCTTTTGGTAATGGAGAGGATTCCCTGGAATTGGCCACAGGTTCTCTGCAGGAGTCTGAAGCTGCCTTTTTAGCACTCAGTGCCGCGATGGCAGCGATGCAGGAGGAGAGCTTAGAGGCTGACTTTGTCTTAGATGCTGTGATGCCAGCAAGGCTGGTGTCATTCTTCTCGGAGTTCAGCTTCCCGTCAAGGACCCTGTTTTCAAGCACCTTTTCAGAGTTTTCCTTCAACTTATCTTCTGATTTTCTGACTTTAAAAGGTTCATAAACACTCAGATTTATGGAATTTGTTTCTGTTTCTCTCTTAACTTTGTTTTTATCCACATTACCTGCTGTAGAGATTCCAGTTTTGCTTGCATTTTCCCCACCAAGTGTCTTTAGTTTATCATAGTCCGGCTGGGGAACTGACCCTGTCAATACATTTGATCTGAAACTTGAACGCACATCCTCCTTATCGGGAGGGTCGTCCACCTCTATTTTCTCATCATCATCAAACTCTTCAGCACTTGAGATAGGGCTGAACTGGCTGAATGTTGAGTCCTTCAGAGTCATCTCTGAGGTAGGTCCATCTCCTTTCAAGGACTTTGCTCCATCTTTGCTGTAACCATCCAGAGAGGATGCTGTGAGAAACCCATTATGCAAGCCATTGCCCGTGGGATTGTGGCCATCTTTTTCCCCACCCTCAGAGGAATCAATGTTCCGAACGTTTTTAACAATCACGCTGACACCGACATCAGAAGATGATGGTGTATGAGAGTCATCGTCCACGTGAGCATTCTGCTTAATGTGGCTTTCGTGGTCATCATGTCCAGACTCAATAGCTGCTTTGGGATCCACCATATCTGGGATGTCAAACGCTGCCAGGAGGTCATCAAAGTCTGGGGTCTTCATATCCCCCATGGTCATGAATTTGATCAGATGTCCTATTAAAGGAACAGAAAAGTATTCCATTAGCAATCTTAATATATATGCTGCATTCCATTAGCAATTAACATTTGTAATGATAAAGTAAATGTCACCACAGAGTTTACATTAACACTGTATGATTATCATTAAAGATCAAGTTGGTAACTGTACTTAGTATCTACCTAGTATAACTAGGAAATCTAATTCAAAGGAATATCTTTGAATTAGATTCAAAGGAGAATACATACAAAATCCATGTAATTGTATCCAAAAATACCCCTCCATGGGGCCAGGGATTTAGCTCAGTGGCGTAAGCACTTCGTGAGTTCAATCCCCGGTACCAAAAAAAAAAAAAATCCCTCCTGGCTGGGCACAGTGGCACATCTCTGTAAGCCCAGCACTCAAGAAGCTGAGGTAGGCAGGACATGGCAGTGCACTCCTGTAATCCCAGCACTCAGGAGGCTGAGGCAGGAGGATCACCACAAATTCAAGGCCAGCCAGGGTTACAATGAGTCCAAGGCCAACCTGAGCTACACAGCGAGATCCTGTCAAAAAAAAAAAAAAAAAAAAAACTAGGAAGGAAAAGAGAAGAGGAAGGGGAGAAGGAGGGGAGAGGGGGCAGAAGGGTCCTAAGTTCCAGGCCAGCTCAGATCTGACCCTATCTCAAAAAAAGAAATCCCTCCTGAATACAGTTCAGTATCACCAGTGTGGCTCCTACTTAAGAATGAAGTTGATCAGTGCTTTTACAGCACAAAAGCAGGTTTTGGTGGATCAACTAGAAAATTATCATTTGTATAGTCAGTTTTAGAACACTGTATTAAACAGACTTAGAATACTATATTAAAAGAAATACATTATAATAAAAAAATGAAGATTTTCACAGAAAAAAATGAACATTGGAACTCACCAAAATTTACTAAATTTGCCTGGGTTTTTTTTTTTTTTTCTAATCCCTAAAAGAAATGATTCACCTTTTATAGATTAGATCTAAAATGTCCCCCAAAGGTTCATGTTCAGAGATGGGGCTTTTAGAAGGTGACTGGATCAAGAGGCCTCCAACTTAATCTGTGGACTGATCCATTAACAGATTCTTAATCTGATGGCATTCCCAGAAGGTGCCAGAAATCTGGAAGACAGGGCCTAGTTGAAGGGAGTGGGTCACAAAGATACAATTTTAAGACATCTTTTCTTCTTTGGTCTCTGTCCCAGGCTGTCTGTATCTCTCTGTCTCCCCCTCTTCCCCAAGGTGAGCAGCTCACCATGCTCTTTTCCCATGGTAAGGAATGGAGGTTACCCCCACACTAAATCTTCCAAAACCATAAACCAAAACAAATCCTTCCTCCTTTAAGTTATTATTCTCAAATATTTTATCACAGCAATAGGAAGATGGCTAACAAGCCATCCATTTTTATTTTATTCTAGTTTTCCTTCTATGTTGAAATACTCTTAAATGGAAAGATAGCTTTAGGAAAATGGAGAGTCAAAGCCATTACTCATGATGAAAGGCATGTAGATAAACTGGGTGTGGTGGCGCACACCTGTAATCCCAGTATTTGGGAAGGTGCGGCAGGAGGCTCAGACCACAAGTCTGAGACCAGCCTGGGCTACATAGTGAGTTCAGTGCTACCCTGGACTGCATACCAAAACCCTGTCTCAAAAAACAACAATAAAAGAAAGAGATAGACAGACAAACACATACAGTGCTTGGTGTCTTTTAAGGGACCATCCACCTCATCTGCAAAGGGCAAATGATAGTGGAGTGCAAGCAGAACATCCACAAGATCACTGTCCTATCGGAGCCCCAAGAGTGCCCTACCTCCAGACTCCCTGAAACTCCCAGATGTCCTCCAAGACACATGTACTTGTCTCATCTCACCTATTAAATCTGTAGGTGGACTCTGTATAAGCAATGTTTCATTCATCTTTACAGTACAAATGCCAAACATTTAACAACCTCAAAAGGCACATGAGGGGTGAGCAGCTAGATTTACAACACAAGAACAGGCCAAGGCCCTCAGGAAGTCATGGAATCTCACTGATCAGGGTCTTCCTTCTGCATGAAACCAAGCGGCCATGAAGAGAACAAAAGATGGATGAAAAGAAAAGGAAATGAAATGGAACGAAGAAAGAAGACTGAAAAACAGAAGAGAAAATGAGGAAGAGAGGAAAGAGAAAAGTAGAGATAAAGGATGGAGAGAAAAAGGAACCATACAAGTAACCAAAGTCAGAAAGGAGGACGGTTAAAGCTGATTCTGTCAACTTTCAGTGGAAGAATGAGCCTAATTTATAGATCAATTAATTTATAGATCAATACTCCTGGATTCTTTGCTCTTCAATATTGACTATGTTATTTCTCCATTAAATCTGTTTTAGTGGTCCCTGAGAAGCTGTCTTCCATATTTCACTAAAGTATTTAATGATTTTTTCCTTGTATAATCTATAACAGATCACACATTCCTGGTGAGAATAACAATGAGGGGGCTGGAGATAAATCCTCCAGCAGGAGGATTTATATAAATGCTCAGCAGCATAAGCGCCTTCCTTGCAAGTGTGCGGTCGTGAGTTCAATCCCTGGTACCGATAAAAACAAAAAAGACCAAAAAAAAAAAAAAGAAAGTAAAAATGGGGTCAATGCAGACTTTCTATACAGACAAGAATACACAACCCTGTGAAATTGATATACCACAAATGCATACCTGCTAGGACCCTCAGCATCATAACCCTCTCTGGGGATATATCTAACCCCTCCAAATACGGTTAGGAAAACCTGCTGCAGATGAAATGAACACCTGAAATATAAGTCACTTTCCATTTGTACATGTGTCCATTATACAGAGCTGAAGAAGTATCATGTACTTTTCTCCTAGTGGTTTGCCCAACTCAGAAAAAAACTGTGGTCACTATTTTCTACCTACAGGACCAGACACAAAACAGCATACCGCCAGCATCAAACTATCACCAACATGACAGGCACACAGGAAACAAAACATTAAGATTCCTAAAGAGAACTGATATGAAAATAGCCAGGAAAAGTCATACCTAAGAGGAAAGTCTGTGATTATGATTTTCTTTTTAAAATGAAATTGAACATTTAAATTGAAAAATGTGGAGGATGAAAAATTCAGCTGTCAGATACTATATTCATGTAAGAATCCACCCACTTAAAGAATCCCTGAATGTCACTACTTTTATTTTTAAGTACCACATTGCTGTTATAAATTGAACACCCACAATAAAGCTATAATAGTGAAATATCCTTGTAGTCTATCTTTACCAAACATGACTGTACATAAACTGTAGATCACTGTTATTTAGAAAACTCAAGACAGAGATCAGGAACCGCTCGTATCCCCAACACAAGTTGAAAGGGACTCAAAGATGATCTTGTGTGCCACTACTCATTCTAAATCACTAGGACCTAGGCTCTAGATATATCTAGTAGTTAAGCTAGACCCTATTTAAATCCCTCCAGCCTTTCTTTATATGCAGAATTCATATCATGATTTGATAAGATCACACAGTTTCACAGAAGGCACTCAAATGATAAAACAAGAGGTAATTCAAATACCAAGAGGTAAGCTCAAGACATACACATGACCAGAAGAAATGATAAAAGGTCACCATGTGAAATGAAATATAAGTGACTGGAAGTTCACATCAGCTGTAAATGAATATTTGCAATATTAAAACATGACCCTTATTACCTTCTCCTGTTATATGTACCGGGACCTGCCTGATTCAGACACACACTCACAGCAGCACCATGAGGTCATTCAGTCAAGATTAGCTTGATGCCCCTGTACTACCTATACCCTTGTCTATCTGCCCGGCTCAAGCAGAGCTAAGTCTAGAAGGACACAGAGGACCCTCTCTGCATGTGATCGCCCCCGGAGTGGAGAGGGCACTCCCCACCGGAGCAGCTCTTTCTCCAGTCAGAGCTGTACCCTGCTCCTTACTCCTCGCTCCACCCAAGATGCATCCGCTCGGGGGGAGAAAGGGTGGAACACAGGGACACTCTGAAGCTATGGCAGTAAATGACCAAGCCAGGCATGTGGCGCACTCCTGTAATCCCAGCACTTGGGAGGCTGAGGCAGGATAATCATTTGCAAGTTCCAGACCAGTCTGGGCCATACAGTGAGCCCAAGGCCACCCTGAACTGCATGGCAAGACCCTAATCTCAAAAAGACAAAAAAAGAAAAAGAAAGAAACAAAGACACAAAAAAAGAAAGAAAATAATTGACCAGTGGTTTAAAAACTGTAAGCCAGCAGTTCTAGCTCACCTGACGGAAGCTAGACCATGCATGCTTAAAGGTATAAAGGACACTTTTAAAAGGCCAGTCCAGCAGCCAACGGAGGACACACAGTACCCTCTGAAACCAGAGATTGCTATAGCAAGTGGCCTCTTCCCTCGGGGTTGTATAGTTAATATAATAAATACCACTTTGTAACTTCATACTTTTTTGGTTTCCAGAAACGTTTTCATACCCACAATCACCCTGGGTCCCGTTACCCTTTCCCTTCCCATACTCAGGAAGGCAAGAGCACACGTTCCCCTGAAAGACTCCTTCTTTTCCACCCGATTCCTACATACCATTGCCTTAAAAATAGGTTGTCTTGCTTAAAAACATTACATCCGTCTTCTCTTTTAAAAAACATAGGAAAAAAATCTCATTTTAGCTTCCCTTTCCCTCAACAGCGTGATTTTCAAACAGAGTTAGCTTTACTTACTGTAAGTGTTGTTCATTTCACTTCATCTTATAAAACACATCTTCCTTCACAGCTGCCAATGATCTTTTATTTTAAATTACACCCTACATAAACAGTAATAATTGCCTGATTGCCTCTATGCTTAATGTACAATGCCCTTACACCCCAAAACATTGAAAATATCTATAGGAAAAAATGCTACATCTGTTTACAGAGAGGGGAAATGGAAACGACTGAAATGTGTCATGTGAATGCTTTCTCCTTCCTGTGGTACAAGTAAAATTTCCTTTCCTACCAAAGCCTCTTAAAA